CTAGGTTAGCTCCAAAATGATCCATTTTACCTTGGTTAGCTCCAAAATGATCCATTTTAGCTAGGTTAGCTCATAAATGATCCATTTTACTTAGGTTAGCTCCAAAATGATCCATTTTACCTAGGTTAGCTCCAAAATGATCCATTTTACCTAGGTAGCTCCAAAATGATCCATTTTAGCTAAGTTAGCTCATAAATGATCCATTTTACCTACATTAGCTCCAAAATGATCCATTTTACCTAGGTTAGCTCCAAAATGATCCATTTTACCTAGGTAGCTCCAAAATGGTCCATTTTAGCTAAGTTAGCTCATAAATGATCCATTTCACCTAGGTTAGCTCCAAAATGATCCATTTTACCTTGGGTGTTGATGGAGGGCTTGTTTTCCCTTTATGTTTTCATTTTGGAACAATGTGGAACTTGTAATATGTATGGATGAACTATACATGTTGAACTTGCTATGTATTGGATATCTCATATGTATGTGGAACTTGCTATCTATGTGTTCGATATCTCTCATATGTTTGTTGTGAAATATATATATATATATATATATATATATATATGTTTGTTGTGAAATATCATATATTTCATGTGAAAATGGTTGGATATAAGAAAAAAGGGTACAAAAAGAGGCAATACAGCCTCTTTGCCATCTGCCACCGACGGCAAAGGGGTATTTGTATTGCAGACGGCAAAGAGGCCATGTGGCAGCAACTTGTGCAACCTGGGAGCAATGGGGCTGACCAATTTGGTCACTTTTCCATTTGCGGCAGACGGCAAAGAGCGGGGAGTAGTGACGGCCCAGCTGACGTCAAAAAGCAGACGACAAAGGGGAGGGCATCTTTGTCGTCCGCTGACAAACGGCAAAGCCTCCCGTTAGCCACCTAACGAGGCTAACGTCTATTCTTCGCCGTCCACGTTCTTTGCCGTCTGCCACCGACGGCAAAGGCCCTTTTGTCTTCCGCTTTGAGAAAGCATGCGGCAAAGAAGTTGTTTACCGTAGCTTGCTTTGTCGGGCATGTTTGCCGTCGGTGGCTGACAGGAAAGCCCTTTGTTGTCCGCTTTATGGTTGGCAGACGGCAAAGAAGCTGATTCTTGTAGTGAGAGTTTATGTTTATCTCATCCATTGAAAATATCAAGCTGATTGTTTGTGTGATCTCCTATAATTAGATTGCAGGGATAAGTTACCTGAAAGGATAAACTAAGTTATTACACTAAATGGAACATTGGTATCTTTTTTGTTCAGTTCATGAAGTACCCACTCTGAGCTACACTTAATGCAAGTAAATTCTCTTGAATTTGCTTTCCGTACATTTTGAAGCCATACTTATATATCATTTTCTATACTTATACATTATTTTCCAAAGGCAGGTCGACATCACTGTCTCCGGAACCTTCTTATACTTATCTAGTTGAACAATTTCTTTGTTTAAAGAGTGGACGTGGCTCTAGCCTATAGATCGTAAGATTTTATACTTCTTCAAAATGACTACATGGCTCCAATATGTGGATTTCAGTGGAATGAATATTTTCTTGGTGATATTTTGCAAGGTGACTAGAATGGTGGAAGAATCGCTTGCATGCTGAAGGTGTTAGCACAAAAATTGTTAAAGACCGTGAGAAGATTATTCATTTGGTAGTTTAGTAGTTTATCGGCAGCTTTCACGAGAATTTGAGGTAATTCTTATTGGAACCCTTTAGTTAGAGTAGGCAAACCCTAGGCTTTTTGGTAGACTATGACATCAACATTAAAAAACAACAATGTAGCTCAGTCAAAATTTTACCAATAAAGAAAACTACAAAGTACCTGATCTTCAAAATTAAGATTTTCATTTGATTTTGGAGATTTTATGAGGGGCAATTTTGTTCCAGTAGTATCAATATAGGATGAGAGTTTCACTTGGTTATATTCATTTGCATTGAACAAGCTCAACCAGGATGTTGGCATTAGATCATTGAACCATCTACCAAAGGCATGGTAAAAATATGCCCAATGCTTATTGTTGTTCTCATTAGGAACTACAACCATAGATAGATGAACCATGTACTGGAATAGATCAGCTAATAGGTTGAATTTTTTTCTATATTATTTGAAGTGACAATACATAACAGAGAGAAAATGCTGGGACATACAACAGAGCAGGAGCAGATTTACATGTTTGTATTTCTGCTTTTTTCTATCACGGATATAATCCAATGAGACATAATTTATTAGGAGTTATTGCCCTTTTCATTTGTGCTTCATCGACAAATTACTTTGCTTGGTCAAAGTTTAGAGTGCATGACAACTTAACTTGCTGCACGGGAGGAAGGTTGGCTAGAAGTAGGCGAGGTAGAAAAGTAGGCTCCATCTCTGTTACATCTGGTCAGGCTACTAAATTTGGTCCACTTACTCATTTCAGTTTCACTTGATGTATGTGAAATAAATATTTTATAAAGCTTTATTTTTAGGTTTCAGTTATTATCTGAAAGCCGAGTAGAGAATTAGAAGCGGTGTAGTCGGAATTTAGAAGCCACATCTGATTACCAATTAGAACTTTAATACTTTTTCATTATCTTTCCAATTGCACTATCAATTGGTTTTAAATTTCAGATAAAGAGTGATCTTGATTATTCACATATGCTTCTATTTTTTTCGTCATGATAACCCTGCCATTGCTATCGTTTTGATTCTTGAAAAAAAAATCCATGTCTTCAAAGGTATTTATACCCTTTGTGCAGGTTTACTGTTAGTGTGCGGATCATGGTAGAATATTCATTTAGTTCCTTGAATATTTTAGATGATGACCAGATCAATTGCATTCGTTTTAATTGACTTTGCACACATTTAAAAGCTAATGTTAATAGCAGCTGCAGTTGCATTTTCTAACTATTACCCTTTGCATTAATAACAAGGCATCAGTGGTGGAAGAGCTATTGCTCAAGGACTTGGCAATAAACAACGACGGATTTTTTTTTGAAAATGAGGATTATCCCCGGCCTTTGCATCAGCATGATGCACATAACCATTTTCATTAATTATTCACCAGAGTCCGAAAAAATGAATACAAAGATCAACTTGAAGCCCCCTTCTAGGTTAACAAAGTCGCTACACCTACAAGTAAACAGATGTGCCCTATCCGCATAATAGACACAATCTAATCCGGTAGCCTGAAGACCATCCGGTCTAGGCGTCCCATAACATGCACCGCATGCCCACGCTCTAGGATCTGCCGCCGCCATCTTCCGTCATCCCATCTTCAGGAGGAATAACTGCATAGATCTTGCTAGTCCCATCTGTCATCAACGCCACCATGACACTAGACAGCGCCACCAGCCTGCGCGCGTCGATCAAACCGCGTCCAACTCTGAGACTCCACTGCTCCACGCCATCGAAACCCACCGTCATCAATGTAGTCGATGAAACATCGCTCCACCTGTTAGCCTCTCCAGTGAACCAGTGCTCCAAGAGGATGCCCCCAGGAGGGAGAACGACACCAAAGTCTCCGTCATCATCCGTTCCGGGAGACCTAGATCTAGGGTTCCCCTCGGAACAGCTGCCACCTGGAGGAAGAGGGGCACGTCATCTGCAACTGCCGATGCACCAAGCGATGCCCACCGCCACATAGCTTTGACGACGACGCCTTCAAGGACACGACGCCAAGAGCGTCGTCGCCACCCTAGGTTTTCACCGGGGAGACCGTGAGGTGGGAAAAGGTAGGAAGTACCCAAACGACGTCTCCAAGATGAAAAATGGCACCCGCGGGTGTCGTCACCGTCACGCCCGGCAGGACGACCTGGGAATTATCCCAATCCGGATCCCGACCTCCCGCTCCGTCCGAATCCGGTAACCGGCTAGCAGCACTGCATGTCCGGTAAAACGGAGTGCACACACCATGGGTTGGAGGAAGAAGCAGCTCGGCGTCGTTGGCCGCCGGGGCATCAAACCGTGACACGAACCCGCCGGTGAATCGCCGGCCACCCGGACCGATCCGCGGCAGCCCACCCACCCAACCGCGCCACCGGACGGGGAAGACTCGCCAAAGGGACCGCCATCCCCGATCCATGAATCGCAGCCGCCATACCATCACCGAGCAGCACGAGAAGGGCCCCACCGCCGCCTTCCTCAAAGCCATCCAAACTTTGCCAAAGGGTGCCTCAGGCGACGGCGAGGAAAGGAAGGTGCGGTGGAAGAGGAGAGGCGTCGGGGTGAGGTGGCGGTGAAGGATGGATCCGTCTGCGTCGCTAGATCGCAACCACGAGTCTTCCTTTTGGCTGGAGCAAGTCGCATCGCCCTAAAAAAAACAACGACGGAATAACTATTGCTGAAGGACTTGACAATAAACAACAATGTAGAAGGGCCTGTTCGCAACCAGCTCGGCCTCAAACCCACTGCTATCCCTTCTTCCATTTTAAAATAAAAAACTATCCCTTCTTCCATTTTAAAATAAAAAACAAGACATACGTACGCATGGTCTGAACCACAGGCACGGCAGCAGCTGCTACTCACTTCGTTCCATAATATAAAACCATTTTTGACACTCGAGGAACGGAGAGCAGTAAATAGTAAATAGTAAAAGGCAGCTCGTCGCTTTGCCACATTTGGAGAACGCAATCAAACAGAGGTGCAAAACCACAGGGCCTTGTTCATCAAACCATGCTGCTCATACAACCTTAAGATTATGCAGCCATTATAGTCAAAAGGCATACGCGAATACACCAGCAAGGACCAGAAACTGCAGTATCGCTCGCCCGTCTCTACAGAGATGAATGGCAGCAGGGAAACCTGATATCCACCCATCCATGCCTTTCAGCTCGGCTCCACATCACCAACAGTATTTCCTATCACCATCTCCATATGTACATCATCTCAAAATGCTGCCGTTGAAACAAGTCCCTGCACCGTCGTAGGCGCCCACAGATCATGTCTTGATTGCTTGCTCCCCATTGCATTCTGCCGTTCGTCGCCCCCAGCTTATGTGTAGCTCGCTCTCCTGGCCTGCAATATACTGATGTAGCTCACAACTCTGTTTTTAGCTTGCTTGTTGGAGGTTGCTGCGGTCCTGTAGAAAGACATGGAAAATAATCAAGTCAGTGCTAGTTGCTAGGGTTCAATTTTCCGATCTCAGATACTAGCATATTAGCCACAGGATAATATCAGGTGATACCACTACTAACATGCTCCCATTTTGAAAAACTCCAATTTACATGTTTCAAGAAAAAAAATGTGAATGTTCACAAGGTATGTGTTTACATCCCCTAACATTTAAACCAAAATTCAAAATACTCGAAGACAAACAAAAATTAAAAATCCAGCATTAATAGTGTCAAAAAGACAAAAGCAAAAAATTGACACTATTCATGCTGAATTTGTCATTATTTTTCCTTTTTGTGTATTTTGAATTTAATAGGGGGTGTAGGCACATGTCTTGTGAACATTCACAAAAGAATCAGATTTTTTTGAGACATTTCAATTTGAGTTTGCCAAAATGGGAGCATATGTAAGTTGTGGTATCGCTGTATATTCTCCCGGAACAGTAACTAGGACACCAGGAGTAACCAGCTTGGCAACCAGTTATGAACTGGTTCACACAACTAACTGTTTTCTCCGATTTTTGCCATCGCAGTTTTGCACGACTGGTAGACGGAAATTTCCAGCCACACGTGCTAAAGAGTTTGAGAATATTGTCACATAAGCAAAATATAGTATGATTGGCAGGCATGGAAGAGAGGGGAGCCAGGAAGAGTGGTATGTGTTATTTTTTAGCTGTCTTCTAGTATAACAATTTAAGATTGAAGGCAAAGCGAAAGAATCAAATTACAAACAATCCAAAGCAATTAGGGCAATTTTCAACGTGAGGTGACGAAACGATAGCTCTCTCCAGTGCAGCAAGGGCGGGTCACGTGATAAAGATGATGGCTGGAGTCTGGACAAAGCTCGCTGTATGCCACTCAGCCTTGAGCAGGCACCAGTACACGAAGAAGCTGCAATAATTTCTGGCGAAGAACAGATTCTGCCAGCCGTAATG